TGTGGTCAGAGGGGTCTGCATCCAAATCAATGTGATGCACTATGGTTCACTTGTTTTTCCCCTGCATAGTGAAGGGGCAGGAGAGGGAGCCTGAGACTTAACTGGGTTGAGATTTCTCCCTGGAAAGTAACACATGGACAGGAAATTTCGTCTGTTTTTGTTACATTTCCCTTTTATGACTTGCCTCTAGTTACCTTATCTCTCTGATGTCAAAAAACAGATAACCATTGAAATAATAAATTGTGCCCAAAGGCAATTTACACTCAATATTTTCTGGATGCTTAAACTCTACTTCCTACACAGAGCAAAACAAAATTGAAATTCCAATAGTATGCTGTGGCCTGTGGATAGAATACTTGAACTTTTGCTTCTTGTCTCCATAATGTGCAATCTTTCATATCACTTGACAGTGTGCTTTTGTAACTAAAATTCCTCCACCATTAGCAAAAACACCTTCTAAAGGCAATTACTTAGACTATCTGCCACCCTTGCATCCTTTTTGTAGCAGAGCAATATACAGGACTGCATATACTCTGCACCTGTCAAAAATTCTGCACCATTGTAGCTCAAGAGAAACTGTTACACAACCACAATACAGTAGCAGTTCATTCACTGCTAATATGTAAATTTTGTCATATATCTTGGGTGGTGCTTGCTTGAGGCTCCTACGCTATGTAGGTAGTAATTAAATAAGCACTATAAACTTTGCAGAAGCAGAAAAATCTAAATAAATAAGATCTGCTTGCAAGAGTTTAGACTTTTTTCAAGATAAGTAGAATAAACATTGCAGACTGTAAGTTTCAGGTAAGTTCACAGCTGAGGTTCTAAAATGCAGTAATGGAAATTCTTTTAAATGTATTTGGGAAAGTTGTCTGATTTAACACAGATATAAGTGGGGCCCTGGTGTGCATGTGTTACCTGAGCCCAGTGCTGGAGTGTGTTCTGCTGGTGCCCAGGACATGCATGCATGTGCCAGGGGTGGGTGGGAGAGCATGGAGGATGAACGGAGACTGCTGTGCCAGCCCAGTTGGCACTGCTGATGTGATGCCAGCCCCAAGTAGCTTCGAGAGACTGGGATGATCCCAGACTCGCAAAGTGGTTGGGGAGGGGAGTGTGAGAAGGACGCAACAGCCATACAGTGGTACCTCGGGTTAAGTACTTAATTCGTTCCGGAGGTCCGTTCTTAACCTGAAGCACCACTTTAGCTAATGGGGCCTCCCACTGCTGCCGCGCCGCCGGAGCATGATTTCTGTTCTCATCCTGAAGCAAAGTTCTTAACCCGAGGTACTATTTCTGGGTTAGCGGAGTCTGTAACCTGAAGTGTCTATAACCTGAAGCGTACGTAACCCGAGGTACCACTGTATTTCGAACCCATCCTCACAAAGTTGCATAGGGCTAGCCAGGTACCCTCCATAAAAATGTTCCTGGGGTCATCACCCCAGCAGCTCCCCCCCCCACAGAACAGGGGGTTCCTGTCTTTGATAGTAATTTATGACTTACTTTATGTGCAAAGTGTGTGTGTTTGTTTTTGAACATTTAAAAGTGCAATGTCAGGACTGGTTCAGATGCAGGTTAGCACTCAGGATGCAGAGACAAGCAGAAAAGTTAGCTCTTTATTCAAGAAAACATTATACCAGGTAGCAATGCCGACAAACAGGACTGGCCCCCATGAAACAGTTGCCAGGACTGAAGGTCTTTGCCTTCTACTTCCCACTAAGTCCTCCTCCCCAGCCAGATGTCTCCCAAGCAGCCTTAAACTACTTTGGGCAGGGGCCACTTACGGTTTTTGTTCTGCTACAAGCAAAGCTTTCTGTGACCTTGGAGACAAGGAGGGAGGGGTGCTTACCGCAGTAGGAATGGCAAGCTCCATGCATGCTTCTGCAGCCTTTGGCTCCTCCTTCTCTGCTGCATGTCCTGAGTCTGCATTGCTTTCTGCATCTCTCTCTGTCTCGGGCCTGTTGCTTCTTTAGCCTCCAACCATTCTGCCTCCCCTTCATCCTCTGACTTGTCCTCAGTATCCCACCACTACTCTCCAGGCTCTGAGTTTTCCTCCTCTGAGGTTTCCCTAGGGTGTTTCCCAGCTGGTGCCTTCCACTTCTCCTCTTCGTCCACCCAGTCCCTGATATGCAACCAGTCTTGCTGTAGAACAACGGACGCCAAGGTTTCTGCATGTAGCAGTGCATAGTTTGGTCTGGCAACAGGACTGAGGTTGCAGTTTGAGAAGACTGACCTTTCTTGCAACCTGAAAGGTATGGGGGATTTTTGACTCAGAATCCCAACCAGCCTCTGTCCTGCAATATAAACAGTTAACTACATTGCAGGATTGAACTGTACTGCAGGTTTGTTGTATATTACTCTCTTAGCCCAATCTGCAGCATGAAGACAAAGGCAATGGATAATATTGCATTGTTGGGGGGGTGTTAATAATTTCCATCAAAATTGTAGGAAAGGTTTAAAACTTACCTCTCACTGTAATCCCCCTTGTGCTGCTCAGCTGACTGGGGAATAGCTGAGAGTATTGAAAAGAGGGTTGGACTGCAGAAAAAGTTAATCTTTATCTGGAGTCCTCCGTTCTTCCTGCTGCTTGGCTGATCAGTTGGAGGGAATGTTGGAGGCCATGTCGGATTAGGCAGTGGGCCAGAAGCCACCTGAAGAGCACAGATTGCACCCTTCTGAACAAGAAACTGAAAACAAAAATGTTTCTTGGCGTTTATACATACAGTTTGCCCAGAGAATGTACAAGATTCAGCAAATATATAGTATTTGTATCCCCCAAAGTGCTGAGTATTCTGCATAATTGCTGAAGAATGTATAAAATCCATTCAATATATGCCCATTTCCCAAGGCTTGTTGAAGATTATGTGTATTGACCAGGAAATGTGCAATACCCTCTTTATGGAATAATTATGTGCACAGTCTCGATGAGACCTTGCAAATGTGCACAGTGTCTAGTTGTTCAGCATATCAACCACTCAGTTTACATTCCCATTAAAGTATGTGTGTATGTGTGAATGATAAAGAGGTATAAGGGAAGGGGAGAATCTCGGATTTATCCATTTATTTCAAGAGGCAAATCTTGCTTCTGTCTCAAAAATAGCTTCTTGATCTGAACCAGACAATGAGATGGCTCTCTCAACCTTTTGTATATCTGTGTCTCCCTTCATCCAGCCTCCTTTCCAGGATGCTTCCTCCATTCCATCACCACCACCGTCTCAACAAGTCAGCATCCTGTGCCCCCTGAGCATGCTCTGTCCTCATTTAACATTTGGGGGGATTCTTCCCCTTTAGGGGTTTTTTTCTTTTAAAAAATTGCAGTTCTGTATACCTTGGGTTTACTCATGGACCACTATGCATTGATGGTGCTGTATTGGCTGCATAAACATGAGTTGAAGGGGGAATTATTAAATTAACAACTGATCTTGATTTTATTGGCTTTGCTTTCAACTTTAGGCATGATAGACTAGGATTTATAGGAGCCTAAATATGCATCCTATATTTGCTTACTCCAAAACATCCTGCAACTCCCAGTGGGACTTATTCCCAGGTAAATATGCACTACATCTGCACTCCTAAACCTAATTACTGCCCTTGGAAGTATGATCCACTGAATTTACTTCTGAATTGGTATAATGAAGAATTCCCCTTCTGAATAAGAACAAATTCAGTTTATTCCAGAATGCCTCTGGCAGCTTCCTAGCAGAATATGAAACCGCTGCTTTCCCCTGGTACCTGGGACTTAAATCCTAAAGGTTTCTTTTAACTACTATGTATAATCACACCATTGGTAGAGCTATCCTATTTATAGCTGAATTCCATAAGTCTTGCTTTTGTCATGTTGCAATACTAAGGTTTGGATTTCAAAAACTGGAATTTAATTTTGTTTTTTGTAAGATCTGGCAACCCACAACTTGACATAATTCTAGCCGTTTGTAATATTCCTTAAACATCTGAGACATAAAGAATGTTCCTTAGGTATTTAGAACCAAGCATGTTTGTAAGAAGGTTTGCAGAATCAGAACTACTGTTTTTGCTAGCATACGTTAAAAAATGCTTCTGAGATCATTTGAATTTATTTATATGGATACTAAACTTCATAGTGGTCTTTTAGGATTAGGCTCAGGCTTGCTCATGAATCTCAAGTTTGCAATCCAACTTCTGTTTCTGTCGCAACCTTCATGCAGTGATTGATCCAAAACAAGCATGTTACTTATTAATTGGGACTGCTAAATTAGTTCCCTTCTGCAAGATCTGATAATAAGCACTACCCAAGTGTATAAAAAATAGAGCTGGGACAGATTGCATGTTGAATACTTCATAAAGTTGGTCAAAAGACATGAATTCTTTTACAGCTTCTCTGTCAAGAATTGGTTATATATTAAGTTGTGATGTAGCTCTCTCTTTAGAGGATATGTGCATATAGCCTCTGGTTAATGATTTCTTACATTGGAAATACTTATTTTTTTCCTTGGCAATTGAACATTATCGATTGACTTCCCCACTTTTGGCTTTCTTAATCAGCTCTGCACTATTTTTTTTAATCTAAAAGCCACTTCATACAGCATAAAGTGGAAGGCACTTGTATTTAGAAATTAAGAGACTCTTGCATCTGTGTAGATTGTAATATGTGATGGTCCCACATTTATACATATTGGACGCTGGCTGCCAGAGGGGGCTGGTGCACTAGGGCTACTGCGGCACATCCTTCCTAGGGAGAATGGTCAATAATTTTTTTAAAAATCCCTCCAAAGCCACAGATTTTTTTGAATACTTCTATTAGAACTCACAGAAGCTCCACAAACATTTCTGCCAATCAGATCTCTGCAGCATTCAACCAATCCTAATAAAAATGTATAGCTGTTGATCACCTGACATCAGCATGATGTCAGATGACCATTTTCCTCTCTTTTTTGGAATAATATTTATTAAGTTTTCCATTTTAACAATCCAATCAAAACCACATTAAAAACATTCCAAATGATGACCATTTTTTTCCTTTGCAGTGTGGATTGAACTTGAAAGACAGATTCCAGTAGGGCTTAAAGCCACTGTCAATCTCTTTTCAGCGAGGATTGGCTTCACTATGAAGATTCAGCTGGACAAGTCCTGGTTGCCCAAGAACAACCTGGAGTTTATTTTAAGGCTTGTTCCTTTGCAACTGCAGCTTTACCTCCATACACCTGTATGACTTAGAGAAAATTTGGCTCATGATCTGGAGGTTCCCCATGACTGGTTAAACTGAGATTAGCAAGCACAAACCAGGTTGATATCATGGTATCAAATTATGGTTTGTTCTCACTCCACAGCTCCATGAAGTGAGACATCACATAGAACTGTGGTATCTTCAGAACTAAAAGTAGCTCTTGGAGAAGTAGAGAAAGAAGGAGCACATGAGCTCAAGACATACTGTGTCTCTTGCTCATGATGGAAAATCAAGGTGCATTTCTAGACCTATAAAGTGGCCTTTTATTTAACAACACACTGTAGCCACAATGATGAGGAATCCCATGCAGGTGAGTGAATGGCTTAGCAATGGAGGTGATGGCTATCTCCATCCCTTGTCCACCATAGTGCTCCACCAAGTTGAGAAGAATGGGAAGGCAGTCTTTCAGCTCTACCCCTTCTTTGCCACCTGTGTTGATAGAATACAAGGAGGTTTTACAAGCCTGCTAAGAGGCTAGTATCCTCAATATCCGTATTGGAGATTGAGGAGGTAGTTCCGTGGTAATGCAGAATAGTACTCTCTTAACTAGTAATGTTATACATATATTTGCAGGCTATGAACTTTTGTGGGCTTATTTACAAGGACGTTATGTACATTGCTGAAACTGAGACTAGATATGTAGAAGCAACTCCTTGAAATAAAATCAGTTTGGTGGTCAGTATCTAGCGTTTGCATTCAGGTTTGTCCATGTTCAGTGCTTCAGAGTCACAAAGATGCTCTCCCTTGGAAAGCTGTCCTTCTGACTCTCTGGAACCCTAATGCCGCCCTTTGAACATGCACACTGAGTTTCATGCTCCTGCACTGGCACAGCAGTCAGTGCTCTGTTTCTGGGGTTTCTGAACATAGCCTTGACCCCTTTCTACTGTCTCTCTTGGTTGGAGCCAGAGGCAGAGTATCAACTCACTGGCTGCCCTATCCTAATCTGTGCCTCTCCCTTTGAGATTTATTGTTAGTGCTGGACTATCAGTAAGGCAGCTCTCTCCCTCTCTTCCTCCTTTTTTCCTGGAGTTCCTCTCATAAGGACTTTAAAGTGCGCTGTAAGCCAGCATGACTCTTCTTCCCTCTTTCTCTCTTTGCTTGCTCACAGGCTGAGGGCAAGAACTGCCTGGTGGAAACATCTGTATTTATACTGATTAGTATCACCAATCTGCTACTTTAAAAAGGCATGTCTATTTAACATACATTTAAGTGCTAATTATCACTGACTGTAATTGCTGCATCTCGTTGCCCCACCCACCTTACAGTTTTCTCCTTTATGTACCTGCCAACTGATGTTTCACTTCATGCATTTGACAAAGTGAGTCCACGAAAACTTAGGCCACAGTACATTTGTTAGTCTTTAAGGCATCACAAGGCTTTTGGTTGTTTATAGTGGGAAGGCTGAAATCCTGAACCTGTTTACCTGGGGCCAGCCCATTGAATTCAATAGTTTTTTTAAGAGACCTGTTGTATTGTATTGCCTGTTAGTTACACATGGGATGCCGAGATGTTGTTGTCTGTTGTGAGTTATTGCCATACATTTGATCTGAATAGAGACAATAGTTTCCATTCCTGCTACAGGTGTTAATTAACTTTACATTGTCAATTTGATTGTTTTATCACCTACTACTGCTGTTATAAAGGCCTACTGTGTTTATTTTGCACACACTCAAGCAGTAATTGAATTATCGCTGTCTGAACTACTTTCATTTCATTTCTCTTTGATCTCGCTGCTTACAACTCCTCTTACAACCATGTGAATGTTTATCTGCATCTGAGGATTACATCTGATGAAGTCAACTCTAGTCCACACAAGTTTATACCATAATAAAATTTGTTAATCTTTAGGGTGTCACAAGAGTTTTTGATATTACTGTCATTTTTGAAGCACTTACTTGCAGATGCTGCAAGTTTTAGCCTTGGTTATGCAGCTATCCTAGATGGGTAAGATAATCCTCATTTTCTTCCATGAAGAAGCACATTGATTGGACTATGGGTGACCAAACTGAATGAATTGGCAGAGGCAGTGGAGATTTGTGACACATTTGTGGCAAGCCTAACTATGCCACTTGGTTGGGCCAGCACTCCTGCCTGTTTTTCCAGCTTTGCACTGCTTGCTGCTGCTTCCCAGATCAGTGGACAGACAACACAAATGTATTGTGGTGGCCTGTAAATAGAACCATTCATTTTCAAGCATTGTAAAGAAATGACAGATCTCTGCCCCAGAGAACTTGCAGTCTAAAAAAAAGGAGCAAAGAAGGCGAGAGTGAGTTTACACATAGTCTGTGTAAACACTCCAAATTTGTCTACATTCAGTGAGCTCCCATCGCTGGTTTGGGAAGTGGTATATACACCACGTTAGCCACAATCCATATCTATCTGTTGTTTCTTATGAAAAATTGTGTTTTGTTGTGCTTTCCCCCAAACCAGCTACATGAAAAATTTCATGCTTAAATATTAACTGGAATTGCATAAAGACCACCTTCTAAAGGAGGAGGTTCAGCAGATAGTGAACTGTTTCAAGTGCTAGTGAGAGAGGAAGATGTTTGATTTCCTCCCATCTTCGCACACTGGTTCATAACTGCATCAACCTTTCTCTCTTTTCTGCCTCCCTTCCCATCGTATTTTCATCTTAACTAAGCGACCCAACCCTATTTAGGTTTTTTTTTATTTGTTTGTTTATTTTATTGCCACTTAATCATCCCTGTCCCACAAGCTTGTAGTTCTTATCCCACCCACTTTTTTCTCAGAACAACCTTGTGAGATAGATAAGATGGAGAGTTAGAAACTTGCCCAAGATTACCCAGTGAGCCTCATGACTGAGTTGAAATTGCACTTGAGGCCTGCCAGCTTCTAGTCAAGCACTTTAATAGCTGCACCACTCTGGCTGGCCCTACCTTTTGCCTTTCTCCTGAGAGAAAACCAGGAGATTTTTATTTGTACCCTGTAAGGCTCTATGATATCCACCGTAAGTTAGGGAAAGCAGAAACAACATACTTAGTATTCTAAATGTGAGTTTGCTATAGATTTATATAACGATATTATGATACTTGCTGTTTCATTTTCAATTTATTTCCTGTGAATTCCCATCACTGAATTTTCCTTCTCACTTCCCCAGCACACAGAGCCAATGTCTTCAGCGATCTATTTGCTATCATACCACCCCCCAGGTTTTTTCTTGGGTAGTTACAGCCCATAGACCTGATCAGCATATCCTGCTGTTGCATTTTACTGTATAAATTGCCTTTCAGTATTATTTTTATTAAGCCAGATTCTTGGCTTCCTTGTCAGTCTTCTATATTCCTCTGAAGTTCCTAACTTTGGTCAGAAATTGAGTGCAAGGTTAGAGTGGTGAAAGCTTCACCCTTCTTGATATCCCTCAGACTTCAGTTTCTAGCGATATTATAGCCTCTTAGCTCGCATCATGACAGTTCATGGCATTTGCTGATAGATCCTGCTCTAGCAAGAAGAGAGCTGTTTCCCTCCCAAGACATCTTTCTGCAATTATTTATTAGATGTTTGGGTTAGGCAGAGCCGTAGCTACAGGAGGGCTAGCAGGGTGCTTTGCCCTGGATGAAGTCACCAGAGAGGCCCCATTGAGACTTTCAGCCTCTCTCTCTCTCTCTCTCTCTCTCTCTCTCTCTGTGTGTGTGTGTGTGTGTGTTTGTATGCAAATGTGCATGGGGTGAGTGCCAAACTGGGTCTTTGACTTGGGTGAAATAAAGTCTAGTTTCCCTCCTGGGTTAGGATACTACAACAGAGTCTCTTAACAAGAATCCTTAACAAGGTTAATAAAAGGGCAATCAACCTTGTGTATGTATTATTTACGGTATGTATGCTACTATACTGCGGCCCATGTTTTGTTAGCCCAAAAATAGAAAACGAGCGAGGTCCCAACCAAAGAAGAACAGCAACTTAAGTTGATAGAATTGGCACAACTTGCAGACTTAACATATCGAAGAAGAGAACAAGAAGAACATATGTTTAAAGAAGATTGGAAAACGTTTATTGAATATATGGGAAATAATTGTGTACAGCTGAAAACGCTGGCAGCATTAAGATAAATTCAACAGTGTAAATAAGTTTTGATGGATGGAATACTGATTGGTATAGTTTTCGTAAAATATGCAGGGATTTACGATATGTAAAATGAACCAGGGAAAGAGAAGACGGGAAGTCATTGATACCTTAAGGATGTAAAACGAGTATTTAAAATTGTAAAACAGAAAATTTAATAAAAATTATATATATAAGAAAGGTTGCAGGGTTTGGGACTGTCTACTGCATAGAAAAGGCAAGTAGGAGGCATGGAGAAAGTGGATGGAGCAAAGTTTTCCTCCCTCTCATGACACTTGAACCCATGGACATCTGGAGAAGCTGAATGTTGGAAGATTGATAAACAAAAGGACTTCTTCATGCAGTGCATAGTTAAACTGTGGAACTCAATCTCACAGGAGGCAATGATGGCCACCAAGCTAGACTGCTTTAAAAGAGGATTAGACACATTCATGGAGAAGGGTATTTATGGCTACCAGGCATGATGGCTATCCTCTGCCTCCACAGTAATGCTTCTCATTGTGAATTACTGAATTCCAAAGGAGGGGAGAGAGTGCTCTTGTGCCCAAATCCTGCGTGTTGGCTTTTTGTTTCATTTTTATTTATAAAATTTCTCTACTGCCCTTCATCTGAGGATCACGGGGGTTTACAATGCAAGAACACAAATATATATAACATAGTAACCAAACACAGACAAAAACCCCACCATAGATTGTTTAATTAGCCAAAGGCCTGGGAGAAGAGGCATGTATTTCCTGGCACCTAAAGATATGTAACAAAAGTGCCGGGCGAGCCTTTCTAACAGGCACCCGGTTGGCCACTGTGAGAACAGGATGCGGGACTAGATGGACCATTGGCCTGATCCAGCAAGCTCTTATGTTTTTAACCCTAAATTAGGCAAATCTTCAAATTTGTCTTCTGGGTTTATATGGGATGATGTCTGTCTAGTTTAATTCGGCTCTGCCCCATCAAGGAGGGGCTCCGATTTTTAGAGCAAAGAGGGAACATCATAGCTCTGGAAAATGGGTGTTCCAGAATGGCATCCTGTTTGGCCTTGAAAAAAGGAATATATTGAAGATTTCCTTGATTCTGTTTAGACATCTCAGACATTGGTTTTTTAGCCTCTTACCCTTGTCAGTTCAACCTAAACAAGCCTTTCTCTCTTCCTCGTTTGAAAGTGGAGATATTGAATAGTATAGTGCCTGAAGTGACACTTCTGAATTACTTTGCCTAATTTTCTGCATGTGTATGTCTAGGAAAAATTCCATAATCTTAATTCAATTACTTTCTGGTTTTGTTTTTAGGTTAACAAAGCCATTATCCTTTGCAGACTGTGTTGGAGATGAGCTACCATGGGGATGGGAAGCCGCATACGATCCTCAGATTGGTGTCTACTATATCGACCACATAAACCGTAAGTGTTTTCTCTAAGTGCTTTATTGATTATATAAGAAGGCTTAGCCAGATTAGACTCTGTTGTTAGACTCTTAACAAGAACTTGAAGAGGAGAGATTTCTTATGAGACAGTCAAAACTCCCCATAGCAATTCTTTTAGTGCTTTTCCTAAGAAAATAAATGAATGTCTACCGCTGCTACTCCCCCCACCCCACTTCCTTCCTTCCTTTTAAAAAAACTGCTCTTACATCCTTCTGTCTGTCAAGGACACTTAAAACTGAGCTTCTCAAAATGGAGATCAGAACTGCACAGGATTGACTGTTAACCTTAAAACCTCTGTGCCACTAATTAAAACATTCTGTTTTTCTGTTTATACAAACATAAGGAATAACTCCCCATCTTTGCCAAAACTTAACATTCTAATTGCTCTCTCTGTAAGCCAGAAACACAAAATCCAGAAGATGTTGGAACAATATTCAGTAAATATATTCATAGGAAACTGCATTAAATCCAAATATAACCATATATTCATAATTGCTTTTGTGCTGTGGTTTTCAAACCGAGGGATCCTCAAAGTGAAGGTGAGTCATGGCAGGCAGGCTTCCATGAAAGCCAGCTTGCTCACAGATGTCAATCTTTCCCTGCATTGTGCAACCACAGGGGAATGCTGGGTGTTTTCTGAGATGCATTCTCATTAGGCTCAGTAGACCTGACTAGCACCCCATGTAAGCTGTATGTCTGCCCCAGAACTTGCCCCAGAATTCTTTGCCATTGGTAGAAGTTTCTCAGTTAACAAGTTAATGTCCCTCATCCAGACATTAGAGACTGAATTTTGCTACAGTGGTACCTCTAGTTATGAACTTAATTCGTTCCGGAGATCTGTTCTTAACCTGAAACTGTTCTTAACTAGAGGCGTGCTTTTGCTAATGGGGCCTCTTGCTGCTGCTGCACTGCCAGCACACGATTTCCGTTCTCATCCTGGGGCAAAGTTCTCAACTCGAGGTAACTCTTCCAGGTTAGCGGAGTTTGTAACCTGAAGTGTTTGTAACCTGAGGCGTTTGTAACTCGAGGTACCACTGTACTTCTGACAGTATGGGTGATGTAAAAACCTCAGAAGTAGCTGATCTAATGATACACAAATGGTCCCAAAATTATTAGTTGGGAGTTGCATGTGGGCTGTACGTTCCATTGCACAAGCAGAACTTCACAAGCATAGCATTGGATACAACCCAGTGCAATTGCTTACTACTTTTCATTTAAGAATTTCTGTCATCTGTGCTGCTGAGATGTTACTTGTTAAAAAGCAGTGAAGAGCTTAATCTTCTTGGAACTGTCTGAGCTTTGTGTAGCTTGAGATTTAAAAAATTGTTTTTAATAACAATAAAACCAATTTTGGAAGAGTAGCCATAGCACAAAAAGGAAAGGAAAAGCCTGAGTACTTCATGTACTACATTGGTGTACTCTCAGCCTTGCCACAGAGAGAACAAAGTAACATCCTTCATGTTTGTATACCGTAACTTGTGAAAGAGCTTGTGCATGTATGCTAATAGGGTTTCCCCATGTTATGATGATCACATGTTGCAGAAACATGTGGAGTCTACTGGCATTATCCCTATTCTCCACCCATATACATATTTACTCTAAACCAATGTAGTGTGTATAGCATTGTAGTGACATTTTATCACAATAGTAGGTTCTTGCTAACGAATATTCATATCAAAATAAAACCAGGCTCCAAGGGACTGCAGCAATTCTTGTCTCTTTAAAACAGAGCACCAGCAGAAAAGGGGTTATCACTTGGGTAAGATACGATTAAAACATTTCTATTCTAATTGACCCTGATAAATATTAAAAGGTGGCTTACTGAAGTCATAGTGGTCCATCTAAAGAGCATACTGTGAAGAAAGGAGAGCCATGGACCAGCTATTGGTTATTATTATCCTAGATTATAACTGGACATGGCTTGTCTGAGAAATAAGATTAAAACTGCATTAAAATCAGAGGCCATAAAGTACTATGTTTTGTAGTGTGCTAAAAATCTTTACAGGGCTAAGATCCATACTTGAGCCATCAAGGATGAAGAAACAAACAAGATACGAACTATGCCTATAGCAAACCTGAGACAGCCTATTTGGAATTTGTTTACATGGCGGTTTTTTACCGGGCATGCTGCACTGGAATGCAACAAAATACACATATTTGTAATGAACTGCCTCTTCTCCTGCTGTGGGCTTTAAAATGTGTGTAGAGGTGAGGTTTTTGAGGGGGTGTTTTTGTAAATGTGTTTTATGGAAGGTGGCGGAATGGGTGTACTTTTGTTTTGCTGAACTGGTTTTACCTCATTGTTTGAGACTGAGGTTTCAGGTACTTAATGCTCTCTTAGTGGTATATTAATCCATGTTGACGGAGCAATTTTGGTGAAACTTTTCTGGAGCGCAGTAGACATCAGGTATGTGGGGTATTGGAGTGGGTGTTCTGAAGAGAGCATTCTTTGTTTGAGTTACTGGATGGTAAACTGCCTGTGATAAGGGTCAGAGGCAGGTCATTTGTCTTACATGCTAAAGTTGAGATTATAGCTTTAATTCTCCTGCCTGGAATGCAACGGTCTGATAATTGCTAACTGCAGCACACAGGAGTTTACCAAAAGTTTCATTAACTTTTAGCTGTAGAAATGGCAGTTTGGGGAGGCATTTGTATACATTATCAGTTGTGCAGAAATGTAGATGATGCATTAACAGCTGCATCACTTGCGTTACTGTTAGTCTTTGTACTGTTGGAAGCAACGTATCTCCCCTTTTTTCAGCCCCTGAGCATTTTGCTTTTTAAAAGAAATGGATGCCAAACTATGCCGGCTATTATTGTAGGTAGGAGGATAATGTTGCATCCCAAGCCTTTTCATGTAGCCTGAATTCTTTTGAAACAGCTGGCATGGTGTAGTAGCTGAGACTGAGAGCTGTCAACCATAGTGTTCCTGGTTCTAGGATTGCCCTTTCCCTGAATTCATGAGGAGGCCTTAGTTAAGGCACTGCTTTCTCAGCCTCTGTTCTCTTCAGAAAGATGAGGATGATAATAGTCACTTACCTTACATGGTGGTGGATTATGGGATGAATGTTCAAATATGCCAACCAAAGCCCCACATAAATGTTAAGTATTATTGTTGAAACCGTAAGAATCCCAAGCAGTGATTTCCACCCCTTAGCCGTTCTGAAGAATTGACTTTCAGTATGTGATGACTGTTGGGCTTGATTTTTTTCATTTTGGTATGGTTTCAGTGTTGCAGTTCAATAAATCAAAGTTGCATATCAGCAGCGCTGCTTGGATAAGTTCCCAATTTGTATTGTAGGCTCAGGATCAGAAAGCAAAAACAGTTAAGAAGAATCTCTTGTTTAGTTTAGTCTTTAGCTTGCTCAAAATATATTTAAGTTCACCTAACTCATGTATGCAATTTTCTTTTTTGAAAAGGGCTTTTCACGTAATTTCAGAATTACAACACTAGTACAAAATAAGGGCAGCATGTCTACCAATAGTAGCTTTATGTAGGCTATTGACAGAGAAATGGTGGGTATATGTGTGAGGTAAATATATATACTGAGAAACTTGTGAGAGAGGTGGCACAGTCACTGTCACAACCCACTATTGATTAGTTATTGTTTGTGCACAACTTCTGGTTCTACAGTTGAGTTACTATATACAAGAGGAGCTTTGGTAAGCTGTCTGCACAATCAGGACTTACGTGGCCTGTTCTAGCCAGGCAAGGAGATTGTACTGAAAAAATATGGAACAAGGAAATGCAAGACTAAGGAAGGGCTACCTCCTGGAGTTGTTGCTCTGTTGCATCAATGCTGAGCAGCCAAAGACTCAGGGCTTTCCCACCCCCAACCAGAATTCGCCAAAACTCAGTTCCAGCACCTCTCCGGTGGGCGCCATTGCCATTATAAGAGAACAAGGGAGGCGTTCATTTTGAGTTTTGGCACCTCTTTTTCTGGAAATATAGTACTGCAGAGACTGGTGGTGGTTGTTTTTCTTTTTTTAAAGTGGACCTATAGCCTCACATAAGGGACGCAGGTGGCGCTGTGGGTTAAACCACAGAGCCTAGGACTTGCTGATCAGAAGGTCGGCGGTTCGAATCCCTGTGATGGGGTGAGCTCCCGTTGCTTGGTCCCTGCTCTTGCCAACCTAGCAGTTTGAAAGCACGTCAAAGTGCAAGTAGATAAATAGGTACCACTCCAGCAGGAAGGTAAACGGCCTTTCTGTGCGCTGCTCTGGTTCGCCAGAAGCAGCTTAGTCATGTCATGCTGGCCACATGACCCAGAAGCTGTACGCCGGCTCCCTCGGCCAATAAAACGAGATGAGCGCCACAACCCCAGAGTCGGTCACGACTGGACCTAATGGTCAGGGGTCCCTTTACCTTTACCTTTACCTTTACCTTTACCTATAGCCTCACATCTTTCTGGAGCTTCTCACAGCCAGTATCCAGAGCACCTATGGGGTTTGTGTTTCCCTCCTAAGTAGTCCAGTTGGATGGTAGGTCTGAGGCTGCTAGTTGGGGATTGAATCACCATACGGAACTTCTGCCCAGGCAGAATTGCCACTAGTTCTGGAGTCCTGGAGAGAATGATGAGCAAGCCCAGGTCTGGAATCAAGGTCCCAATAAGGGACAGTGGGGTCCCTCATATTGGAGGCCCATAGTGGAAGACTGTTATTATGGGGAAGGGCCTCTAGCTGAGCTTCATGAAGCATGGAGTCCCCAGGTCTCCATTTGTGCTAGAGGGCTCTCTGGGACCATGTTCCTCCTCCTCTGCACAGGAGATCTCATTGGGGTTCAGTTCTGAGTCTGGATTCTGATGCTTAGGCAGGAGAAGAGAAAACAGAATCTAATGCTACAGTCATACACACACAAAAACGAGTTGGACCAAACCTCAAGATATATCTAAGCAAACTAGTACTGTACTAGTACTGTATAACATCTGTACAGTTTCCCCCTCAAAAGACTAACACTAGGTTTGATTGCTGAAAGAA